CCTTCCTCACCTACTTGCACCTACTTGCAAAAATGATGGATATTTGGGAGTACGACTACAACAGGCTCCGCGGCCTCCTGACAGCTATTCAGCTGTAATTACCAGAAGGCACTTTGGGATGCCTTGGCTGTGTAAAGCCCTTAAGGACCATTAAGTTCTCATCTCTATTTATTCCAAAGTAGTACCCAAGAATTTATTTCCAGGGAAGTGTAATAGATAATAGTTTCCTCCGCAGGGTATCTCAGGGGAGCAGGTTTATGTTGGAGGGAGATCTTTTTGTGTTGTTCATCCCGGTGGCAGGGTTCTCCTGGAACTTTTTTCACTGATGTCTGGCTTATGTGGTCCCCAGGAAATCGGGTCCCCAGGCCTTCTTGAGCCTTTCAGCCTCCTCGGCTGGACTGACCTGAAAGTCTTCACAGCCTCCGTGCTCGTGGCAAAATATTTCAGCAGAAATATTTCTGGTGTTGGCAGATATTCCCCCTTTGGTGGGTTTCATGCACCTACCAATGAGATGGAGTCAGGGCATGTCCAGCCACAGGTGTTTTGGTCCCTCACTCAGCTTCCCTGGCCAAAATGTTGATGCATCCATGGGGTTTTTTTCTGAGTATTTACCTTCTGGAGACGGTTTCCTCCAGCTGTGGATGTGTGGGCCAGGCCAGGCGTGGAAAGGCAGCCAAGCCCCAGGCCATCCTCACCTCTCCACCTTATTTTATTTTTTGTTCATATGATATCTCAGTGAGGTTCGTGGTGTCTCTGGCCCCACAGAAGAAGACAAGCATTGCCCAGGAGCAATGTGGCCAGCTGAGAGGCGAGATGCCAGCAGATGGCAATACTGCCTTTCACTCAGCAGCAGGCTGAGCCTATGAGACGAGCTGCTGGAAACGTGGGGATTGAGCAGCGTTGGAAACTCCTCATGGTCAGAGCTGCGAAGGAGAAAACTTGATTCTCTCTATTAACAGTGTTTCCTAATTCTCACTTTAGCCATGGCTCTGGCAAAACAGGATTTTTTGCTGTTTTATGGAGGGACAGCACTGAAACCAGAATATTTTATTCACTAGACTTAGCACCACCCGTTTGCCCAGATGCTGAGGACTCGCAGCTCCTCCAGAGAGGGATTGACCACAGAGGGGCCCTCACATGGTACAGGAATCAAACTGCTTTTATTTTGGTGCTCAATTAGGGTTGATCTGGTGCCAAGGATGCTTCTTTACAGCGTGATGAGGATTTCTGTAGGTGATGAGGATGTTGAATATTGTTACCTCAAAGAATAAGGACCAACAGCTGGACTTATTTTTTTCCCCCATCCCACAGCACCGACAGATAAACCCCAACAGTCCACGGGGACGTGGCAACGATTCCCAATTCTGCAGTGCCTTTTTTTATGGGAAAGCCAAGCCGGTTGCCGGGGTTGGATTAAAACCTCATCAGCTGCAGACTTCTCCTCAGGTCCGTGGAAGATGCACGTGCACAGAAAGTGCCTGTGGCGGTGACAGAGGTCTTGAAGCCACGAGGATGCAGAGGCACCACCGAGGTTGCTTCCATTGTCTTTGCCGAAGTTCTGGGGCAACCTCCCCCCACCAAGGTCCCGCAGTGTCCCACTGCTCAGCCATGCTCTGCAAACCTGCCTTTTTCTTCCATCAGCCAGAGAACTGATGAAAAAAGGTATTTTCTTCCCAACGCTCCTGCTTCCAAAGTGGACACAAGCCCTTTGGGTGCAGGATCCAGCCCTATAGAAACATCTCCAGTGCCACAAAACCAACACCCATGTCCTCAGCTTGCCCTGCAGCTCCTCACTGTTGGGTGGTTTTTTTTTCCCTGATGGAGATAAAGTCCATTCTACCCATCATTTTATAGCTGTTCCTGCCCGGAAATAGTCCTTGTGTCTCATTCCCGGGTGGCGCCAGGTCTGGAGGAGCCGAGCCCCGCACGTGGCAGCCTGTCCCCATCCCCATCCCACCAAATGACTCATCCCTTTCCCGGAGGCTGCTCCGCCACCCGGGGAGAAATGCTTTCTAGTCTGGTGGCTACACGTAGGGTTCAGCTCTCCTGGGCACCTGAAAATGAAACGAAAGCCAGCCATGAGTCATTCTGCCCCTCTGGGCGTTACAGGCAAGGCTACAGAGTGGCTGTGCAGAGGGGGGGAAAAAAGAAAGAAAAGAAATGAAAATAAAGAGGGCGATGGAGACCTAAGCAAGGTGGGGAGCACACAGGTGGGTTTAAGTGGGGTCAATGGATCACTGATTCACAGAATCACATGGGGTTGGAAAGGACCTCTGGAGATCATCTCTTCCAACCCCCCTGCCAAAGCAGGTCCATCCAGAGCAGGTTGCACAGGAACGTGTCCAGGTGGGTTTGGAATGTCTCCAGAGATGGAGACTCCACCACCTCCCTGGGCAGCCTCTTCCAGGGCTCTGCCACCCTCAGAGAAGTTCCTCCTCATGTTTAGGTGGAACTTCTTATGTTCAAGTTTGTGCCCATTTCCTCTTGACCCATCCCTGGGCACCACTGAAAAAGGACTGGCCCCGTCCTTTTGACACCCACCCTTTCAGTATTTATAAGCATTGATCAGATCCCCCCTCAGTCCTCTCTTTTCTAGACTAGAAAGACCCAAGTCCCTCAGCCTCTCCTTATAAGGGAGATGCTCCAAGGCCCCTCATCATCTTTGTAGCCCTCTGCTGTCCCCTCTCCAGCAGTTCCCTGTCCTTCTTGACCTGGGGAACCCAGAACTGGACACGGGACTCCAGATGGGGCCTCACCAGGGCAAAGTAGAGGGGCGGAATGACCTCTCATGACCTGCTACAACCTCTCTTAACCTGGTCAGGGCACATCCATCCCCCCCAACCCATGCAAAAAATCAGCTGCCCTCAACCCCTCCATGGCCAGGGAGGGGATGGAGGGTGGCAGTGGGTTTCACCCCTTTGAAGATGCGGCCCTATGAAAGCAGAGTGGCCACAGCTTGGACACCAGCCCCTGGCAGAGGGACAACCTGCAGCCAACCAGGGAGGATCCTCCAGGGCTTCTCCTGCCTCGCTCTTCAAAGCCAACACGAGCTCCTCTGGGGACAGAGAAGATGCTGCAAACTCTGCTGCTTTCCCTGTGGAGATGCCCAACGGGATGAGGCACCTCGGGGCAGTTTGAGCATCGTCCCTTTGTGGGGGTGAAAAGCCACCAGTGTGGCAGCTGGAGCTGTGTGCTGTGGGGGGGTCTTCTCCTCCCGATCAGAGAATAATTAACGTAAGAGGGAATTATAGCCATAAACCCCATAAAATAAAACAACAACAAAAACAACAACAAAACCAGGCCTCTTTTCAGTATTGCTGCTTTTACAGCCGAGCGAGTAATTTGTAACAAATAGTTTATTCAATTAATTGAGCTTCTCTGCTCCGGGGGCAGATGGCAACCTTCAGAAATGGATTCCCTCTGGAAAACTAGACAATGGCATTCCTGGGCCAATTTCCCTTGCTTTCAGGTCAATGCCAGTGGTTATGATTTACGGCCGCGCTGCCGGACGCAAGCCCGTGGGATAGGTGTGCCTGTCCCCATCCAGGTTTCTGGGATTTATTCAGCTTTTCCCTCACACCACGGGCTGGCTCACAGCCTCACTCCCCACTTCTCCTTTCCCAGATGTTGCCAGGACCAAGTGGATTTTCACTGCTTCTTCCCTGGAGAGTGGTGATGCTTCTGTGTGGCTGCATCCTTCCAGGTCCCAGGGGTGCCACAGGGTGATGAGAAACCATCGGCAGCCCAAAAGGAAAAGGGTTTTCCAGGGATTTCCCAAGATTTCTCTTAAATGCTTCCTGGTGATGGGATGATACCACCACCACTGTCCCTTCCATCGTCCTGTGGAGAGGTGCATCTACCATCCACAGGCCAAGCAAACTTGGGAAACACAGCTGTATTCCAACTCCATGCACATTTTTTAGGGAAAACTTTGTCACAGAGGGTGATGCTGGGGGAGAAGGAAGCAACTCGGACAGGACAATCGTCAGGTGCCACCACAAGGAGATGTGCTGGGGACGTTGCAACAGCATGGCTGAGCGGCTGGAGACACCTTGGGAGCCTCAGGAGATGCTCTCTAGGACATGGGTCTTGCTCTGCCAATCAAGAGGTTGCATCACATTTTTACCCTCAAATTAATTAAGCAAATTGCCATAAAGGTCCCTTCAAGTCCCAGCCCTGGGAGAAGCTGCTTTTGCCAGCCCAGATTCTCTCTCAGCCAAATCATGTTTTTAGCTTAGAATTTGAAAACAGGGGCTGGCTCTGGGTCCCCATCTGCAAGGAGCCCCATCCCTGGATGAACTCAGAGGGACTTTGGGACACCTCACATGCATCTCCAGCTGCCCCAAGAGCTTCTCCCATGTGACCTCCTGGAGCCTTGGTAGTGGTCCTTGCTGCGTTTCAGCACCAAGGTGACATTGAGGCTGTGGTAGACCTGGGGACACCTTGGAGACTACCTGGGAAGACCTCCTACAAGCTGCCAAGTGTGGAGGAGGGCTCCATAGGGATGGATGAGCTTGGTTCCATGCCTCCTCCAGGGAGGGCATCCCCTTTGCCAGGACCGATCATATGGCTGGTTTCCCATGATGGGACTGGCCCCATAGAATGGTTAGAGTTGGAAGGGACCTTAAAGATCATCGAGTTCCAACCACCAGCCATGGCAGTGCTCAACCCCCCCGATTCCCCCCATGCCTTTCTCCACATGAGGACATGGGGATGCTCTTCCTTGGGCTGCTTTTGAGAGGGGGGGTGAGAAAGGCAACGGGGGTCCCCAAGCTCAGGAGAAGCCTCTTGGAGGACACCAGGATGGGAGGAGGGCTGCTCCTGCCCTAGTAGGATGCTCCCCTGGGGTGAGAACCCAGGGCACCCGTTGGCTTCTAAAAGGGGCCAAAAAAGCCAAAAACAAACAAAAAAGGGACAAGTAGGACACAATGCAGCGTACATACCCATCGTCCGAATTTATGAGCCACAGTGAAGGATAAAGAGGGAAAGGCGCTGCCGTATTCAAACAAAATTCTTTTATTGAAAGTGTAATGGAAATTTCTTCATATTGCTTTGATGAAATGAGAGACAGCAGCTGTAGACAAATATGCTTTTTTATAAACAAATGCAAATGGATAAGGTAAAAATAAAGCATTTTTTTTAACTTGTACCTTTAAGCAACATAATCACAATATATACACAAAGAAAGCTAAAATAAAGCTATGTTGAAACCAAAGCGTTTCAATCAATACATTAGATAATTACAGATTGTGTCAATAAATACCCAGTTTTTAAACTGTTTAACAGGCAACTTTTTACACAGATACCGAGAAGAAAAAAAAAAAAAAAAATTGTATATTTACAATTCAGTGCCCTGGGGGAAAAAAAAAAAGAAAAAAATCTTTTTTTTTCTTTTTTGGCACCAACACAAATAAAAAGAATAAATTATAGAAAAAAAATCCACAAAGGCAGGAGTCCATCCCTGTCTTTCATTTTAAAAAAGTGTGTGTATATATATATAAAATATATGTATATATTTTATATATATAAATATATATATATGCAGAGAAACCTAGGAATGTTATAAAATATATTAGTGCCAATAAATACAGAACGGTACCAGACTTTCAACTGTCAGTATTTTTGATGCAGTCTGAAGGATAGAAACTACCACCTAGGAGATAACTGAAGGGGATTTTTCGGTCTAAAGAAACGACGACGACAACAACAAAAATAATAATAATAATAATAATATAATAATATATATGTAATCCAGGAAATCCTCCATCTGCCAGTAGTATTCCTCCAGTCGCCCTCCTGCCGGGCGGGGAGGACCCCAGGATGATGCTCTGCGGGAGGATGCAGGGGGCGAGCACCCCCTCACAGCCACGGAGGGTCAGCTCCGCTTCCGAGTTGACCGGCTCAATACCAGAGAAGATGTACAATTAAATATTAATAATAATATTAAAAAAAAATAAAATAATACCCCAAACCCCAGCCTTTGCCATATTCGTACGCCAGAAGTTTCCTAAATCGCCGGCGGGTTTGCATCAGGTGCTGGTGGGACAGCAGGTACCAAAGAGCACCATCCCCGTCCTATGAACAGTTCAGCCAATGGAAAAATCTTCAAATCCGTATTTTAGGTATTTTCCTCCCCCACCTGGGTGTCTCTGCACCCCCTGGGAGCTCCCACCAGCACCCCGCTCCTGGGGCTGCAGGGCTGGGGTGCCAGAGCTGTCGCCTTCCCCCAGTGCCAGTAATGCCAGGAATCACTCCCATCACCAAATGTCACGTTTCCCAAAGGGCAATTTAAAGCTGGTAGGTTTTAAAGTCCTTTTGTGTTTGTTTTTTTTTTCCATACCACTGGCGTAGGCACTTAGTGTATCACTGACGTACAGGTTTTATGTCCAGTTACATCACATGGCCAAATAGTGTCATGTTCTCAGACTGACTTAAGTAGTAAAATGCCAAGAGGGCCCCCAAAACATGATTCTTCTCTTTTTAAAAAACAAAAGCCTTTGAATTTTTCAGCTTTGTTTTCAGGCATTATTTTTTCTTCCCTCTAAAACCGTACTCAAAGGATAAATAACCCAGTAACCTTCATATTCATCTATTTTACTTGATTGACCTGATTTACCTATATTTAAAAATAATAGTATAAACAGTCTGACCCACTAGATTTTGGAGCTGCGACACCTTCAACGTTGGGGAGCCCTGAGGAGCACTTGCTGGGGAGCATGAGCACAGCGTTGGCTCTCCCGAAGCTCCCCCACCCAGGACTGCAAAGGTCCTTCTCATTACACTCAACGGTTCCTCTGCATAGTCAGGCACCATAACTGATCATGAAAGATCTCATGGCCAAATCCTCAGGAAATTAAATAAATTATAAAATAATTTATGAAAAGGGCTTGGGTTGGGTTTGTTTGTTTGTTTAAATAGAGCTAGTTGGTGTCATTTCTTGAATAGTTGAGGGCTTTGCTTGTTTCATGGAGATGGGACACCATCATTGTGTCTACTGGAGGGCCGATGGTGACCAAAGGATGCTGCACCAATGTGTCCCCACCGTCCCTCACCACCCACCCGCTTGCATTTGGCTCCTCTAGAGATGCAAAGCGAAGACCAAACAGCCAACACCTTTCAGACTCAGAGAAACCAGGGTCACCTTTAGGACAGGTGCTGCTGAAGACCTTATTGCCCTTCCAGGTCATTGAGAAACCACAGTGCTATTCACGTACTACAGGTAGAAAATAAATAAATACAGATATATTATGCAAAAAAATATGATTGTACACATAATACATCTGAGGTATTACCAATTTAAATAAGGTTTCATGCTAGTTCAAGCTTCGGTGGCTAGTTAAATTCTGGAATTTGCAATAAATAGATGAAGAATGATTATGTATATAGTGTATGGATCTCTTCTGTAAACCTTGTCCGATTTAAACGTAAGAGTATGTCGGGCAAACTCTTACGTAAACCATGGATTTTCACAATAAATACAGCTTCAAAAAGTTGTCTTAAAAAGCTCCTGCAACACTGAAACGTTTCTAGAAGGGGCTGCGTGTACGACTGGCAACGTTAGCGAGGAGTATTTCTCGACAGGTCTTTTCATACAAAACACAAGGAAATTCATACGTGAAAGTCTTTTGCCCTCCCTCCCCACCCCACCCCGTCACGAAAGTTTAGAAATTTTTGCACAAACAGGGAGAGAACTGATTGTAGGTGCAGTATGTCAAAACGTCCACGTTCTATAAAGACCAAAAATAGTTTGTTTGCTTAGAAAGTCGGGGGTTTTTTTGTTTTGTTTTTTTTTTTCCTCCTTATTTTTTGAGTAGCGCATCATCCTTTCAGTGAAAGTTTGCCCATCCAACTGTTCCTTGGTTTTTTCTTTCAGCACTAGTCCTTGCTGTCCGAGCCACACGGGCATTTCACACTTTAACCGTCTCCATCAGGGACGACTTGATGGCATCCTCCAAAAGTTGATTGTCTGTGAAAGGGGCCGGGGTTTCAGGGACGGATTCGGACAAACCGATGAGGGACTCCAACAAACAGGAGCCCTGATCTCCAGCTTGAGGGAAGCCGGGGAAATTAGGCAACTGAAACTGTAACGCTGAGAAGTTATCGAGGTTCTCGTACTCCTTTAAGGAGTTGTAAAGGGGTCCCAAGTTATAGTCCGAGAAGGACTGGAAGAAATCCAAGGAGTCAGAGGAAAGGCTGAGGTCGGCGTAGCTCTTGGAGCAGGGCTCGGCCGGGGAGGAGGCGCAGCAGGACAGCCCATCGCACCGCGCGTGGGCAGCGTCCTCCAGCAAACCCCCGCCGTCCTGGTTGGCGTTCTCATCCAGGCACTCAGAGAGGTGGGACAAGTGGCTGGGGACAGGCTTGGCCTCGCTGCTGTGGTCCTCGATGAAGAAATCGGCGTGGTGGAAGCAGCTCAGGTCATCCTGGCCACGGCCGCTCTCTTCCTCGGCATCCGAGTCGTTGAAGTGGAGGATGCGCGCCAGGCCGTCGTCGTCCACGTCCGACTGGGATTTGTCGGAGGGGAGGCTCTCGTAGGGTTCCTCCAGGTCCTCGCTGGGGTGGGAGGAGATGGAGGAGTCCGTCATGTCGCTGCTGCAGCTGTTCTCCCCCAGGGCTTCCAGGTCGGGGCTGAACTGGAAGGCGGGTGCCAGCGGCACCGCACGCTCCTCCAGGGAGCCCTTCCCCGTTGCACATCCCAAGGGCGACAGCCGCTCCCGAAAAGGGGGCTCAGCCTCTGCCACCTTCTCGCTGCTCTGCTGCTGCTGCTGCTTCTCCAGCTCCAGCTTCATGATGGTGTGGATGAAGTGGGTCTGCACGCGGGCCTGGTTGAACTCGATCCTGCCCTCGGTGTTGCCGCAGCCGTCCTTGGTGCAGCCGCAGGGGAAGGAAGTGTGATCCATCTGCCACGGGGAGAAGCAGAGGTGGAGGGTTAGGACCAAACCCAGAGGCACCAAATTGACACCACCCGCCACTCACCCGCCCCCAGAAACCAAGTGACAGCCGAGGGGTTTAAAAGCAGACACCAAAAAATTTAAATATGGATTGATAAAAGACACCCTGCTCTTTCAAAGGGTTGGGGGAAAGAAGCTGGATTTCAGCACAACTGGAGAAAGTCAAAAGGTTTCAAAAAAAAAAAAAGAAGGGTTGGGGGAAAGAAGCTGGATTTCAGTACAACTGAAGAAAGTCAGAAGGTTTCAAAAAAATCCCAAAATATAACGCTCCAAAAGGAGACACAAGGGGGCAAACATGAGTTTTTATATATTGCATCGTGGTATTTAATACCTGATACATATAGTGGGCTTCTGCCCCTCACTGAAATAAGGAACCCAAAATATAACGCTCCAAAAGGAGACACAAGGGGGCAAACATGAGTTTTTATATATTGCATCGTGGTATTTAATACCTGATACATATAGTGGGCTTCTGCCCCTCACTGAAATAAGGACAGATTGCTCAACAGGCACCTGCAGCACCTTCATGTCCCCATGGCCTGTGCACAGCCACCCTACACCACCCCCAGCCAGCAACCAGGGCATCGAGGGAGCCAGCGGGACCCACAATGGGGAACAGGGCTCCCCGAACGCAGCTGGGCAGGCACCCGTGAAAAATAAAACGAAAAATATGATAAGCTAATTGAATCTAGAGGGATTCTGCCACCCCGCAGGTGGCCTGCACAGCTCGCTGTGGGCTGAGGCTCAGCTGACACTCCCACGTTCGCCTGAGCGTGCTGGGAGTGTGTGATACACACCAAGGGGAAAAAAAAATAAAAAATAATAGAATAAAACCAGGGGGAGGAGGAGAAATCACAGCCTGGCGCGAGGAGCAAGAAGCTTTTGTTTGCCAAGACGCTCCCACGTGGCCCATCTCCCTCCACCTGCAGGCGTTGAGCCTGGCAGGGATGGAGGGGGTGGGAGGGCTCAGGGACATCCCCAGGGCTGCAGCGCCAGCACGGGGACGGCTGCACGTGGGATTTGGGAAGGGGAGGCTTTGGAGCAGCGTCTGCCTGCCTCACAGCCTGGGGAGCATCTCCATCAGCTTTGCTGCAAGCGCAGGTGGGAACGGATGCGTTTTACAGGCTGCCCTGACTCCATCCTGCTTTCTCAAACACCTCCCTCTTGCTTTAACGAGAGCATCAGCTGGAGCTGTGGCTTTTCCCCCGTGCCCGGAGGCGAGGGCCGTACCTGACATTTAATTCCAGCCAAGCTGCAGCTGCAGGTCTCCGGGTCGCAGACCTCCCGGCAGTCGCAGCCGCAGTCCTCCCGGGACAGGCGGATGTTGTGCAGCTCCCTCTTCTCCTCCTTGTCGATCTTCTTCACCCCCACGGCTTTCAGCAGGGCCCGCCTCTTCTTGGCAGGGTAGGGCTGGAGGAAGAAGCCGTCCTCCAGGTCCACGTTGCTGACGTCGATGTCGTCGTCGGAGATGTCCTCAATGGTGAGCTGGTTGGCCTCCTCTGACTCCTTCGTGCCGTTCATGGTTAGCTGAGGGCAAAAAACGGGCAAAGCGTTAGGGACTTGTTGGGGACAGAGAGCCATCAGCAACCCCAGCTCAGAAGGATTTCACTGAATTTCACTGAATTTTTAGAGTTGGAAGGGACCATAGAGATCATCTAGTCCAACTCCCCTGCTGAAGCAGGATTGCCTAGAGCTTGTCAGAGCGTGTTACTCAGGACTGCATCCAGGCGGGTCTTGAAAATCTCCAAAGAAGGGGACTCCACACCCTCCCTGGGCAGCCTGTTCCAGGGCTCTGTCACCCTTCTGTGAAGAAGTTTTTTCTCATATTTGAGTGGAACCTCTTATGTTCCAACTTGTGCCCGTTGCCCCTCGTCCTCTCACTGGGAACCACTGAAAAGAGTCTGGGTCCCTCCTCCTTCAACCCACTCTTGAGATACTTGTAAACATTAATAAGGTCTCCCCTCAGCCTTCTCTTCTCCAGACTAAAGAGTCCCAGCTCCCTCAGTCTTTCTTCATAAGGGAGATGCTCCAATCCTTGAATCATCAGAAACGAGAAAGGAAAGACCTGTTCCCCATGCAGAAACGAGAAAGGAAAGACCTGTTCCCCACGGTGGCTGACTCCAGGCCAAAAATCTGTGTCAGAGCCTCCAAAGACCTGACAGACATGTAGAGTTCAGCATTTTTTCCACCACCTTTCAAGGGTGAGGAACCAAGCTGAATATCCCACACCGGAACCCGTGTTTTTTGGAGACCCAAATAGGGTCTCCCTATTTGGAAACCCAAATAGGGTTAAGGAACGATGCCCCCAGGTCTCAGAGAGGCCCATACTGAAAACCTATAGACATCTGTAGGTTTTATCTACAGACATCCACCAGCTCCTCGCCACCCCACGCTCCTACTCACTTTCCATTTCAACGCTTCCAACTTCTCCTCCTTTAATTTCTCTCCCAGTTTCTCCCGACGAACGTTTTCCTGTTCCTTTGAAAACTCGGCTAGCGTGAACTGCCGGGAGGAGCTGTGTTTGCTCACCATCCCCAGGGTACAGCCCCCACGACTAGGCACGCTCGTGAACCCCTGGCAGCGTGGGAAGTAAAACACAGTGACCCGGTCAAACTCCACATTGTTCTTCTTTAGTCGCTTGGATTTCTTCAGGATAGACGTGGCTAAAAACAAGGCAGGGGGAAAAAAGGAAAAAGCACAATGTCAGTACTGCCATCCTGCAGGCAGGATAGAAATGTTAGAAACAGGCTGTAAATATTACAAACAGGCAGGGCTTGCAATTACTCTCTCAACAGGGACGTGATGGGACAGGGTTACGACATCGCTTCTGGGGTTTTAGGATCTAACGCTTGGAAGGTGGGATGAGGACAGAGGGAAAACTAAGTCTAGTCTTGATGCATCGAAGTCGCTGCCCAGATTCACCCAAAGAAACGTCTGCTGCTTCTCCTTCCCGCTTGAATTCCTCCAGGAAACACACATTTGCTTATTCTTCACATGCAGCAGAGCGTTAACGAACAAGCAACCAACCGTCCTACGTGCCTGTCTTGCTCTAAACCCAAGAATTCTTCAGGATAGACGTGGCTAAAAACAAGGCAGGGGGAAAAAAGGAAAAAGCACAATGTCAGTACTGCCATCCTGCAGGCAGGATAGAAATGTTAGAAACAGGCTGTAAATATTACAAACAGGCAGGGCTTGCAATTACTCTCTCAACAGGGACGTGATGGGACAGGGTTACGACATCGCTTCTGGGGTTTTAGGATCTAACGCTTGGAAGGTGGGATGAGGACAGAGGGAAAACTAAGTCTAGTCTTGATGCATCGAAGTCGCTGCCCAGATTCACCCAAAGAAACGTCTGCTGCTTCTCCTTCCCGCTTGAATTCCTCCAGGAAACACACATTTGCTTATTCTTCACATGCAGCAGAGCGTTAACGAACAAGCAACCAACCGTCCTACGTGCCTGTCTTGCTCTAAACCCAAGAACCCTTCAGGAGCTCCTGGCCTGCTCCTGCAATGCCAGAGCACTGACAACCCAGCCCCGCGTGGCTCCAGCTTTTGTGGCACGGCAGAAAATAACCAAAACGGCTGTTTTTCTGGCACTTCCTTTCACCATCCACTGGGAGGAACTGTGCATCTATAGTTTATTCTCCAGAGACTCGTTTGAGAGCAGCTGCAAAGATGTTAATCTTTATGCAGGTGATCCCAGGGTAAACATGGAAATACACGACTCTGGTTTATCTTAAACTGCTGAAACACGCTACACACCATTTAAAGCGGAGCCTCTCCAGGGATACCTGGTTCTGCACATTTGCACGTGCAAACGAAGCAGAGGGAGGGAGACTAATTAGCCAGGGCAGTTTCAGAGTCAATGAGTTTCCATGAACGTCGCTGGCCATGCACAAATTCGGTGGTGGGGTTTTTTGGTCCCAATTCTCTGCTGGCGTATGGATGTTTTGGTCACCAGCGTGGAGAAAAAGCAACCCAGAAAGGATGGGTGGCTCCTGCAGAGCTGGGATCTGAGCCTTGCTCTTCGGATGGCAGAGTTGGGGGGAGCCAAGCGAAAGGATTGCCAAAAACCCAGGGTGCTTGGCCGGCCCTGAAGGGTGGGAAAGTGCAAGACCGGACAGTTAGCTGCACCCACGTTTCACAAGTCTCACTTGCCAGAATATAGCATTTCAGTTTCATATTAAAAAAAAAAAAAAAAAAAAAAAAAAAAAAAAAAAAAAAAAGAAGTGTTCACCCAGCTGCATCAGCAGCTTCTGCTAAATAGCTGAGGGTTTCACACTGGGCTCTGCAGTCGCTTTGATGATATCTTTGCACTGCGCGTTGCATTTTCATAATAACCTTGACTCAATCTCCTAAAACATTTAGCTCTTTATCAAAAGGCAAGTTAACCACCACGATCATCTATCGCCTGAGCTGCTGCACTTTGGCATTTGCTTCTCCCTCCCCGCACCAACCCCCCCCTCCGAAATTGTTTTCCCATTCCTGACCCTTTTCCAATTGAGCCAGAGAATACAAAAAGTTCATTGTTTTGACACAAAACCTGGGAAGACAAGCAAGAATGAGACTCTTTATTATTACAAGACTTCTAAAGCCTTTTCAGACCACTGCGTGTTTGTGTATGTCTGCTAAGTGGACCTTAACTGCTATATACAGTGGGTGTTCAGTATAATTTACTACGTTGGACTATTTCTCCTCCGTGAAGATGGTCCCCTATTGTATTTTTCATTTTTCCCTTCGCAGGGCAGATAAAGGATTTTACAACCTCGTCTTCTGTGTGCTTTCCTAAAAGCTCTCAAAACTGATATTGCTGGGAAAACAAAATAGCGTTTATCTGTACTAACAGCGGAGGCAACGTCAAAGGTGTCGTGTTCTTTGGCAAAGCACCCAACTTACGTAGGAAACGAGTTCTGAAATGGTAATTACGCTACTGGTTAATCATTTTTAAAAACCAGCACGCGCACTGAGCCTTTGCTGTCTGTTTAGGTTTTGCCTATGGAAGAGCTTCACAGAGGATTGAGGGATGGTGGGATGGTCCTACAACACCAATTTGCAGGAACCTGCATGCATCTGTAAACCCAGATCTTTGCCTTTCTATTCCTTGAAATTTGGACTTCAGCAAAAACGTGATAAAGGAGTGATAAATTCTGAAAGGAAAGGCTGAGGAAGAGCACCCTGAAGATGCTGGCTTATTAGAAAAACAAGATAAATTGATGTAATGACAGGGAGCTGATGTTATGGCCACTTCCACCCTTAAAGGTGTGCTCCAAGGGGGTCTCTACATGGGGATGACCTACCACCACACTACAAAAAACCTGCCCAGAGGCACATCTGATCCCAGGAAAGGAGCTGCTGGAGATACTCACGGGTAAAGCTGGGCGTTAAGGCAGAGCTGGGCTTGGGCTCTCCGTGGGAGCTCTCCTCGTCCGACTCCCAGCCCGAGGATGCCGAGGAGGAGAGGGGGGAGCAGGAGGAGGAGGAGCAGTAGGTACTGTCATCCCCCAGCTCTTCATACTTCCTTTTCAATACTCCACTCATGGTGGCTCCGTGGTTTTTCATATAACTGGAAAACAAAGGAGAAAAGCAAAATAAAGCGAGGGAAATTGGTGAAGAGCAGGATGGCTTTAACCCCCAGCAAGACTTCTCAACCAGGTCCACCTGGGCATGCAGGTATGATTCCCGAAAAGTGCTTCCCCCCCCTCAAAACCACACCTTACTACCATCACTGTGCACACCTGATTAATTGCTCTCCCATTTTATGATGCTGCAGAAAAACCAACTATTGCAGACAACAAACTGTCCGGAAACCAATTCAATCAACGCAAATGTTATCAAACAATAAGTATTACATTTTGCTTACTAATTCCTTTATGTTAACTCCTTCCCCAGATCGCTTTCTATGCAGTTACAGCTTTAACGTCTTGCTAATTACAAAAATAAGCCAGTTTGCAGAGAACAATCTGTTGGCATGATTTACTTGCTACAGCCCCCTGGGGAAACAGACTTATTAAATGAAGCACTGAAATACAAATATATCAACTGTGAAGAACAGCCCTTCTCCTCACGGTGCCTTTCATAGTCAGTCCCCCATTCAATAAGCTATTCTTGTTTAGGCTGGGTTATGTATCAAGCATAGTAGCAATTAAAAACAACGCAGCTAATTAAAAACAAAGGAGCTCTGTACTTGCCTAGATTCCTAAATATCCTGCATGCTTTTCCCCTGCTCATCTTAAAGGAAAAAGAAAAGAAAAAAAAAAAACACAAACACAAAACTTTGTTGCATCTTTTAACCTTTGCTTTTATAAAGTTTGTGGGGTTTTTGTCTCCTGAAATTGCACGAAAGCTTCACGCTTTGCCTACAATAGGCTAATGGGTATCCGAGCCCACCTAACCTGGGATGCTCTTGCACAGAGGATGGACTGTTCCTCTTTTTAAACTCTGGCAACACCGTACCAGATGCAGAAGTCACCACCAGATTATTTCGAAGCCAAAGCTGAGAACCAGGCTGCTACTGGAGGAGTGGGAGAGACGCAGCGCCAGAAACTCCCTGCAGCAAGGAGGGGAGAGCCACCATGAGATGGGACTCCACCAGCTTCCCCCCCAAAGGTAACACACAAAACCTAAAGCATCCCTAAAATGCAGGCGACACTGGTACAGACACATACAGCCCGGGATGGTGACAGTGCAGGTACTGGGGTGCTACTAGACACCCGGTCCCCTCCCGCCAGCTGAAACTCCTCCACCGGCCAAATTTGTTCTTTGTAACCGTAGCACTTTCTCACCCTCTTTTGCATGTCTGAAGTTAATTTAAGCTTCTGAAAAAGAAAAAAAAAAAACAAAAAACAAAACACCACTAAACCCACTCTCCTGACAGCCTTCAGGCTTCAAAACCTTCTCTCACGATGGGATTTTCAGTATCTCGACGGCACCTCACAGCAACACGTAGCAGGACGGGAGCACACGTCGTGCCTTCAGAGCCCTCCTTAATTATGTTTACCAACAGCTTCCCAGGAGACAAAATCCCCCCAAAGGTCAAAAAAAAAAATATATATCCCTGGATGAAGCAGTTCCTCAGCCTGAAGAAGTTAATCACTCACTGCAACGCACACCTCCAAGGCCAGTGCATCCCCCACAGCGAGGTGATCCCCTCCATCCCTCCTCCTCCTCCTCGCCAGCCCCAGAGCTGCAGGTGGTTTTGCCCACGGAGGGGTTGTTGTTTTTTTGGGCTTAATCCAAAACAGATGGGGAGAAGGTGGATTTGGCCACCCTCCAGCCCCAGCAGCACATGTCCTACCTGACACCTGGATTAACCCCTTTCCTGCCGAGCTCGCAGGCAGCCACGACGCCCAAACCAGCTCCCCAGCTGCATTTCCAAACCTGATATTATTATTTTTTTATGCCTTCTGGATCAAAGAAAGCCCTTCAAATCCATGTCAGGGGTCCAAATCAAAGCCTGGGCTGCAGCCAGAGGTTTGCTCATCCCAGCTGACCCTGTGGTCCACCCAGAGCAGCCAAAAACTTTGCAAAAAAAATCCCACACGTGGCTTCAAAGAGCATCAATTCACGCTGCAGAAGAACCGCTCGCTGCTCCAGAGGACACCTCCGATGTTGCTGGTCAAGGAAGTCAATGTCCAAACTTGCAAGGGAGGGAGAAACCAGCTCCCCAAGAAGCCCGCAGGAGACGTGTCCAAGGGCAAACGCCCTTGGAGATGCGATGCTGACCACATCCAAGGCTCGTGGGAGACACCAGAGGTTGGTGAAGCAGCCAAGATCACACCGCTGAAACAGGGATAACTCCCAGCTCCGGACCAAAAAAAACCCAAAACTCAGGCAGCATCCATTTCTACTGGGATCTACCTGGTCTGCAGGACTCCCAGAGGAGTGAGAAGGTGGACATCACGATGCTGCAGAGCCCTGAGGCTCAGGTCTCCTGCAAACCCAGCAGCACCCATCACGACAAGCCGCGCTGCCTCCCCCCCAAACCACACAGCAAAACACAAAGCGTTTTTCCTCCAACAAGCTAACCAAATTAACACAAACACCAAGCCAGAGCCAAGGCAAGCTGTGTAATAAGATGGTGCTATTTGATTAATTTTTTTATTTTTTTTTGTTAATGCTATCCTTGCTGATTAGCCACGTCTGGCAGAAGGATGAAGGGAGGTGTGTGCATCTCCCATCTAGGAGAATAAGCCAAATGCACAGGAAAAAAAAACACACCTTTGGCATGCTGTCTGATTCAAAACACCTATTGTTTTGTTAATGCAAAAGAGGTGTCATTCAAAGGGGATTCTCTATTAAGGAGAAAAAGCTGGTGAACCTGTTGCCCACCAGCCAAAACACATTAATTTTGCCCCGTAATGCCTTCCCCCTCTTTGCTGATTTATGGCTGTGATGTTTTCCAGGTCAAGTTTTCACATCCTTCTCAGGAGCTATATGTGATGCCGTTGGCGTCTACTTGTATCCACCCCCAAAAAAAACCCTAAAGAGCAGGGTTCTGCTGTCAGGGCAGAGACAATCCTCTCCTTCCCTCCTCGACCCGGCACTTGGGAGCAGAACTCACACCAGCGATTTGGAAGCTGCTTTCAAAGCCATGTGGCCAAAATCACTGGCCACTCAGCCAAAAAAAAAAAAAAAACAAACCAAAAAAACCCCAAAAACCCAGAGGCCAATTCAGACCCAGCAAGGATATTTTAATTGCAGTAATTCCACAAGTATTCTTAAATCCACATTGATACCCTACAAAGAAGTCCCAAAAATGTGCACAGCAGCACTATATATGTATATATAGATCTGTGCTTGCCATTGCAAATCTCTGCAGGCACCACCAGGCACAGGATTTTGCCACCTTCTCCCTTCTGTGTTTTTTTGTTGGTTTGTGTTTTTTGTTGTTTTTTTTTTTTTACATAACCTGAAATAAAATAATCCTATCTTCCTTTTAGTTGCCAAAAAAGACATTCTGTTCTTGGCTAAGACTTCTTACTCATCTATTTTACTGAAAACAGCTTTTGGAACAAGTACATAATGCAATGGATCAAACCCGCAGGAATTCCTCTCTGGCACCAGAACTCCCACTATCCTGGGAATACTTTCTAACAAATATTTAGCCCAGATGTGCATTCCTTTCTTTTTCTCTCCCTCTTTTTTTTTTTTAAAGCATTAAAGTTTGGTTGGGGGGAACAGGAGGGTTGGTGGCTTGTCTAGTTGGGGGGAAGGGACTACGAATCTGCAAAGTCCCATTTTCTGGCGCTCGGCAAGTTGCAGGGTAAAGCCTTAATACACTGGAATGTGAGGAATTAATGTTTTAACTATCCTCCTCTTGGACGACGTCTCAACAGTAAATATTTCGAGTAATTTAGATTTAAGAAGGTTTGGCATTTGTTTAGCCAAGCGCAGAGGAAGGCAACTAAAACCCCTACCAGTGTCCAGTTAAGTCTATTTATAAGAGGCTGCACAAAGAGGCATGGTGGCTTTGTGCAGAAGTATGCGGAGATGTTTCAACGTTAAGATTTTTGGGGCTGAATATGTGCTTTGCACCAAGCAGGGCAAGCAAAGCAAAGGGAACTTCTCCCAGCAAGTCCAGTGGCTGCATGTGGCTTGGGCCACAACTCCCATGGCATTGCAGGGGAACACCTACCAGCAAGGATATTTTAAATTTTGGGGTTCCTGGGGGCAGAGCGTCCTAAAGAATGGAAGGATCCCAAATCTGTGCACTGAAAGCAAACTTTCTTCTGCAAAGCAGTTGGGATAAAAACAAACAAACAAAAAAAACCCACAACAAACCCCAAACCTCAGTGCAATGCACTAGAAGTTTTTATTTTCTGGTGGCTTTTGCTGACTTTACAAGCAAAGCCTCCTGCCTACAGCCCGGGAAGCCAAGGTGGACCCTTCCCGACACACCGGGACGAGGGCTCGGGAGCCAGGGAACAACTCTGCTGAGCCGTGAGTCAGAGCAGCTCCCGCTCCCTCCCCCAGAGCCGCAGTGGCTGTGCAGGTCTAGCAGGAGTAAATATTAGTTTAAAAAACACCACCGCATATTTTAGCCAGGTACGGCTCCCAGCGTGACTCGCGGAGCAAACCTGGGGCAGTTTTGGGGGTCAGTGTTTATTTGCAGGACAATGATTTCTTGCGGGTCGGGGGGCCTGGGTGCAAGTACCACCAAAAACTGTTGTGGAACCCAGTTTCCCATTTAACTATCCCAGATATTTGGTGTCCAACAGCAGCGGCGATCCCAGTAACGCCTCTGGGTTACTTAATAATCACCGCGCTATCAACACTGATTCATTGCTCGTTCACTTAAATAAATATGCAAAGAATTAAAATAGTTAAGTGGTTTCCCCAGCGCCGCTGTGACAACCTCCACGATGACAAGGCTTCCCAATTTTGGGGCTGAGCAGGGCCAAAGCGAGCGGGATCATCCCATCTGGGGGTCCCCGAGGGGGGACAGTCCCACGCGTGTTCCCAGCCACGAAAAGCCGTGCTTTCCAGTTCAGACCAGATTATTTTCACCCAGCTGGGTCTAAGGTTTCATAACCTTGCTCCGGTTAAAAATAGCCTCTGCCTACTATGCAACAGCAAAACCCAAAGTACCCCGTGCCACTG